AGGTTGGAAGCTTCGGCGCAAATTTGGTGACGAAACCCAGCAAGTCGTTTACAAATGCTTGCCGTGACTGCCAAGTGCAAATTGATAAAGCATACGCCAGGCTGCTAATCGGGCTGCACATATGGTCCAGGTCTTACTGAAGTTGAATCTCAGGATGTACGTCATGTCGCACGCCAACTGCCTACCCATGACAAGATGACTCGGAAATTATCCACTCCTCTCTCTATCAGTATTATTTCAGAGCATCACCAAAGTCATATCAGTTTTTCACACCCACTGACTCCGTCCCAGAGAGGTTCACATGAAAGTCAACGGGAACATACCAATTATTGTCCCTTTCCATGTTGCTGATGTTTAGCTCCCCTATAGCTGGGCGCAAAACACATGATCCTTATTCATTTCTTACGCTTTATAAACTTACCTAGTATACCTTACCTAAGTTTGAGGAAAAATTAGTTCTTCTTTACAATGTGAATAGTATCCCAAAGCAACAAAATGTTTTTAAGATTTATATGTTAAGTTTTCATGAGAAAAGCTACTTTCATCAGAATGTTCAAAGATGGGAATTTCTTGCTGCAAAAAATAAAGGAAACCGCCACTGATGTACAATAGATTTTACCAGGCAGAGCTGTCGATAAAAGTCTTAGAAAGCTCCCTTCGCTTGGTCGAATGGGAAAACTGTTGCAATGTGATGTGGGAGAAGCTTTACCACGCCAAAAAGAAAGCAAACCGACGCAATTAACTGCGATTTGCTTTTTCGGTGCTGTAGCTTCCCGACATTTGTGGATTGGATTCGCCCACGTAAATTAGGCAGACAGTAGGAAATATAAGAAATGGAAATCGGCAAAGGCATGAAAAGACATGCTGCTTACTTACATTGCCACGAGCCGTAAGAGGCAGAAAAAGCTGGCTAAAAAACATCCTCGGCACCTGTCTTTCCTCCTAGTTTCATACTAGCACTTGCCACTTCATTTCAATGACCAGATACACAGAAGATGAGGAGTTATATTGCTACCGCCCGCCCGGTGGTAAGAACACATGGAACGGTTTCAAACACACAGACTTTTATGGCCCGGTTAAGATGGGGGACGACAGCCTGTGGATTCACATTGTGCGTGTTGTCGCGGGCGTCCTGTTGTGCGCGGGGGCAGAGACCGTGGCTAGATGGCCAGCGACGGAGTCGTCGAGTCATTGATGCGCGGCTGTCGTCACCCTACCAATTTGCCTCGAAGATGCTCCCCGACCCCCAAGAGACCTTTTGGGACTATCCTCCGAAACTCCCCCATAGAGGCCTCCACGCTGAGATCCCTTTCAGAATTTTGCACAATACTTTATTTGTTATGATCACTTCAGACTGGATCGGACCGCCACCGTATTTCCGCATGATCCAATCGTGTTGCCGTAATGTCTGCTTCACCCAAAACGTCGCCGGGCCGGATTGTCCCAATTCGAAGCGCAAATAACCATTGGGGTTGACGCGCCCTTTAAGGGAGCGTCTCACCCTAGTGGTATTCTTGAAAAACCCAGGTCGTTGGGACAGATCTTCTGCTCTAGTGAACGCTTTAGACCACCAGATTTCCATCCCTGTATTGATAGCATAAGGATAGATAAGACAGCAGTGTTTGCCTTTTTCCTCGGGGAGAAAACCGCTCTTGTCTATGTGAATAATGTTCCTCGCTAATGCACCTACAAAATTTTCGTACAATGATAGCTCTAACAAGCTGATGGACAGTTTTTGACCTGAACTGAATTCCTTTAGTGATGGTTTTCCGGGAATTTAATAGTTTTTCGTATATGATGTGCCTAACTAAGTCATGCCACACACAATATTAATGTGTTGATGTTTAAAAAGACTTAACGAAAATCGTCACCACAAGCATTTTGCAAAGACGAAATTACAGCTGCCCGCCTAGCCCAGCTTTTGCGAAATCACAACAATTGCTGTCATGGTGGTCACGCTGCACGCAAGTGCGAGGCTAATGAGGAAACGACCATTGTAGAGGCGTCAGCAAAGGGTGCAACTATGCGGAGCGGTGACCCTTCTCGCCTTTATTGCCAAAATATTCCACATGAAATACATCATATTAGCCAAGTTCCCTTTGAACGCCAAACCTGCTGCAAATGTGTGAATGAGCAAAGTCTGGGATTTTTTCCTTTCGTGGTTTTTACATCTAACGAAGTTGTTAAGTGCATAAGCGAGTAGCACTATTCGTATAGATAAGAGAGAAGTATTAGCCTGACTCCTCGGAAAAAAGCCAGGAGTACCCAACCATATCTACATTCTCTTGGTTATTTTTCTCCGAGGAAAAAGGTTATGACTACTGTCTTATCTATGTGTTTAGATCCTCCATCTCTGGTTACGCTCCCTGATCTGTGATTTCATCGGTCAGCGATGATACCAGGAAAGGACAGTACTCGCCTATCAGGGGTGCTGTATGACGGGCTGGTTTAAAGCCGTACCCGCCATTCTACCGAATCGTATTTGATCAAACCTACCGCAGGTGCACAAACCTGTTACATATCGCGTACCGTTTCACGATTAACTTGCCACAAAAATGGGAAAGATCTTTTTATAATTTCATTTCAGGTGATCATTTCGTCATGGGCACCGCGTGGCGGCAGCCTCAGTCATCAGTCGATCGTAATCAGCTGACAGGGAACTAGAGGAGCTTAAAGAGAAGAAAATATTAACGTAAGATTTTAAAATATTGGAGCTGAATAAACACTTCGAACATCTGCAACGCGTAATATTGCCGAGGTGATGTAATGATGTCTTAGCTTTACACGCACTTCCCTGTTGTAGAGATGCGTTTGCTCTAAGACACTCGTTGGTTACCGCTCTTCACGTATGCAAATACCAGTCAGCGAGCAAAGCATTGCAACACACCTCGGTATTCTACTGAACCGAGTGTGCACAACCGCGCCCGGTAGCTGGGTGGCCGACCTGGGCGGTCACCCGTGCATTACGGGTTCCTTACAGATAGGGATCGCCCAGCTGTGCACGCCGACACGGCCGGGTAACCGTGCTGAGCAGACCGGCATCTGGCAGTGGAGGGGCTGCCGGTCACATCGTGTGCGGATTCGGAGCTGTCCCGAATACAATGCCCGTCGATGTATGCGTATTCGGCCGCGGTAATTCCCGTTTCTCACCGGATTATATCAGCTGAAAGCTCAAGCTTCTACACAATCAACGAATTTCGCCCATGCCAGGATGTTTCGCCAACAGCCATTTGGCAGCAGAGCTCGACGCTAATCGTTTACTTGTCCTACGTGCTCACTGAAAACTGCGTTTGAGACCTTACACCGTAAGTGTTCTTGAAAGTATGCTGGGCGGTCTGCGCGATGAAACCTCTTGCTGTGAATCGTGGCTAATCTAGTCACTATGGGCTAATGCTAAAACCTGGTATGCCTGCCAGTGGGGAGCAGGAGTACTCCCGGCACCCATTGCTTGTCGTCCTCTCCTCCGCCCCTGGTGGTGGTGGTGACGTATATACGACATATCCCGAGATAGTCTTGCCCCTGACTACCACCTTGTCCCTCTGACATCGCCGTTCCATGCCCCCCCCCCCCCCCCACCCCCGCCTCGAACCATTGGACAGTCCTGGATGTGACCCTTGTGACCGCTCATGCGTAAGCTGGACCTGAGGGGTCAAAGATTACTCACATCCTGCCTTTAACAGTTTGCTTTTGGGCTTTTCCTTACACGCCGCTGCTCCGAACACCTCGGTGCTGTGACCTGCCCTGTCCCAAGCGGTCGAGTTCAACAACCAGCAATCGAGGCCAGTTGCCTGGCTGAAAGCCGCTTTGCCGTGGATGCGGAGGAGATGACGATGGCGGAGGCGCAGGAGATGACGATGGCGAAAAGGCAGGAGGAAGCGGCGGTCGTTCTGCTGCAGGTGGTGTGATACCCATTCTTCGCTTAACCACTGGGCCTAGCCAAACGCCACCAGCCACCCGTCTACCTGAAAATCTTCATGCTGCAGGTGCGCTATTGTGGTGTTGTACCCAGGTCGTACTGGGTTCTGACCACAAGGCGGGGCATTAAGGAGGGGGCACAAAGAAGCTTGTCGATCTGTGGTGATGACTCGCAGACCCATTGGGTGAGTGCGGCGCTGAAGCGTGGTTGGTAGTGGACGCGAGTTTGTGTTGCAGCTGATTTGGAAACCTGGTCTCATACGTATGTCGATAGAGAGGAGTGGTACTGCTGTGAGATGTGTCGTTCTGCTGTAGGATATGTTCTATCGTTCTAATTGATACGCGTCGTTCTGTTGGGCTTTGTTATGGTTAAACACATTTGTTTGCAATGCTGATTTGGAAGTTTGGGTTTTTGTCGTCAGGGTATGTCAATGGAGATGCGGCATTCTATCATGCAAAGCGTTTCTCTGCTGTAGGATGCGTTGGTCTGCTATGGAAGGCATCATCCAGCTGTGGATTGCGTCGTTCCCCCGCGCTGTGTTTCGACGACAAGACATTTTGCTGTGACGCATCTCCGGTGTATGTTGATGGAGACGCTTCGTTTTGCTGTGCAATGAGTAAATCTGCTGAGATACATCGTGCTGTTGTTCTCGTGCACATGCACAATTCAATTCAGCTACGATATCACTACCCACGTTTGTGGTGTCACGTTCATCTGAATGTTTTTTGTTTTTGGCTCTGGTGGTTTTCGACGGAAATGCAGAAATATATTGCATGGTCGTATATTCCAGGTTTATCAACACAATGACTGAAAAAGGGTTAGAACCCTCCAGAGCACTCAAAGACTATCAAAGCGTCTGTTTGGTCTGGCAGCCTTTTTTGCAAGGCTCTCGGCATCATTGTAGGTTATCTCGCTCGAGAGCGTTCAATTGTCTGAAATTGCGAACGTTCACTTGTTTAAAAATTTCAATTACGCGGTCATGAAGATAACCAGTCATTCTCATGCGTGATGATTTGCGCCGAAACTGAAAACTAAGCAAAAAAAGAGCGACACTTGACAAAAAGACCGCCTCTAAGGTTCTTGTGAAGTGTGGCACTCTGCAGAGGCAAGATCGAACCCTCGACAGGCTTTCAAAACTCTCGATAGGTTTGCCTGTTTTTCAGTTATTTTTCAGTGCTATGTTACCTGAGAAGGTCCGATACGAAATGTCCAATATTAGGGCAGCATAAATGTCTCACGTCATTGCACA